GGTCGCTCCTGCCGGGGGCCACCTCTTGCGTGCGGCCGAGGCCAGAGGGCGGCCTCCTTTATCAGAGGAGAGCAGGGTGAGACAAGGGTGACGTTTTTGCTTTTTTCGCCTCCGAGGGGCCTCCTCGTCGCCACGGCTGGACGCAGCGTGAAAAATCGGTGCGTTTGGACCCCGGGAGGGGTCCGGGGACCGATTTTGAGCCGATTTGGCCACTGTTGTCTCACGGCCGTTGTCTCACGTTGCCCTCCTCCGACTTTAGTCTAAAGTCAGGAGGGGAAACACACACACAGTCACAATCCATCGTCGATTCCCAAGAAAATATGGGAACATATGGGAATTGGGCGGGAAGATACGAACCCAGAAAATATAGGAAAATATGGTGGATTATTTTACTTGTGTGTATTTATTTGTGTGTTCTGGGGCCCCTTGAAGAAGGGGGCCCTCGCCCGAATCATGGCCGGTCCCCGTGCGGCGCTCGCCTCCGACACGAGCCCTGCCGCGGCGCTGTCGGCGGCCGCTGCTGCTGGTCGAGGGAGCGGCATAGACACACTTTCTGAGCGCCGCGCGGATGTCTTGGATCGGCGCCTGTTAAGACTGTTGAGATGTCTGTGAGCGGTGCTTTGAGCCACACGTGTCTTGTGCCCTCGGCTTCCGCCGGCGAGCTTCTAGACGCTTCACGTTTGGGCCCTCCGCTTCCGCAGCGCTACAACTCCGCGGAGAGGTACTACGCGCTCCTCGTCGCCACAGCTACGCGCTCCCCGTTTGTACCGTCGACAGCAGCGTAACTTGGACACTGACGGCCATCAGCCGTTCCCTGGCTCCTCCCCCCTCCCCTCTCCCTCTGCGCTCTCTTGAGGCGGCCTTCCGCCGTGTCTGGTCTTGCGTCTACTGTGATGATCACAGCCCTGGCTAGTCGCTCACAGTTTCCCACCCTGGCAGAAGGCAGCACAGTCAGCCCGCACCGCAGCGTACCAGGCGCGAGCAGGCTCCCCACTTGTCGCCATGGCAGCAGTGGAAAAGTGTAGCTTCGAGACGTGTGGAGCAGCGACGTGCAGCCCTGGCCATCACGCGGACGCGGTAAAGCGCAGCAGACGGCATGCGATTGCGACGGCACCCCGGCCCACCACCCAGGCGCAGGCTCCATGCTCCCGAGGACAGCAGGTGAGGCCGCCGGTTCACTCAGTCGAGGCTGCTGGGGGCCCGCTACCCTGCTTGCGCTGGACAGACCTGAAGCGCGCTACTTCCCCCGAGGGTTGGGGCCACGGGCGCCGGCGGTTCAGCCTTGGCCTCCCCCGTGGCTCGACCGCGCTGCGTCCGCGACTTCGGCTGCAGTGTCGGCGCCCACCCTCCGGCCGTCTCAGACCGGCTGGCGCGTCATCCCCCCGCGCGCCCGGGCGCCCTCCCGTGCCGGGGCGGCCCCCCCGCGGCTGGGCACCCGGTGCCCACGCCAGTGAGGTGATGTTAGTTCCCACCTGCCCTGGCCTCCCCATCCCGCGCAAATCGCGGTTTCGCCTCCCCCTGCGGTGGAGGCCACGGACGCCTGTGGTCCGACTCGGCACTTCCGTGGTTCCACCACGCCGGTCCGCGCTTCGGCTGCAGTGTCGGCGTTCGCTCTCCCGCCGTCGCTCGCGTCTGGCGCCTATCCTGGGGTATCGACCGCGGACTGCGGCCCCCCTCTGGCCGTGGGTCGGGTGTGCGACTTTGCTGGCGCCGCCTCGCACCCGCCAGGCCTCGGCAGGCATCTTGGGTCATTCTGAGATGCCCACACTGGTCACTTCGCGGTGCCCACGCGCCATTTTGGCCGCGCCGCAGCCTTTGCTGCCCAATTCATGTGCATCCATTGTTTCGTGCCGTCTGTTTACAATTTACATCGCAACTTGCAGACCCTGGCAGCCAGCCGCCCTGGCAGTCCGCCCTCTGCAGTTTGTTGCTCGTGTGCACCCCTGGCAGTGCAGCCACCCTGGCAGCCACCGCTATGCTTGCAAGGTCGTTGTGTGGGCGCTCTCTGCTCCTGGCCTCGGCATCCACACTCAGTACAGCTTGCAGCTCACGCGAGGCGCCGCTTAGGCAGTTTAGGTTGTCGGCTCTAGTTTGCTGTTGTCAATTAGTAGGCCCGCGCCCCGGACTTACGACTCGCCGTGTGCGCTTTCGCCCGCGGCCGCGACCAAAAAGTACCCCCACCAGTTTTGCAGCGCGCTGCATGCGTGCACCCTGGCAGTGCAGTTTCCCAGCAGTTGCAGCCAGCCCCGTCCACTCGCCGGCCTGCCCGCCGAGGTGCTGCGTGAGGCTCCGGCCCACCGCTTTAGGTTAATTCGTCTTTGCGCGGCCCGCTCTGACTGGACTCGACGCTGGTGCTCTCGCCTACGGCCGCTGATTAAAAAGTATCCCCACCAGTTGCGCCCCGTGGCGACAAGGTCTAATTCGCGTGCCCCGCGATTCTGCTCCCATGGTACTCGCACGTTGCAGCTTCCTGCCAGCCTCCGCAGCTGGCAGTCCTCACCCTCGGCGCAGCTCAGCCCCGGCGCGGCTGCCTTCCTTCGGCGGTAGGTATTGCCCTGCTCGGCGCTCGCGCCAACTCTGTTGACGCTGTGGGCGCCTTCGCCTGAGGCCGCGACGAAAAAATCCCCACCAGCCCATCCAGAAGCGATATCCAGGCGAGTTGAGGTGATCAGGGAAGTGCTGGAGCAAAGAGGGGGACGGCCGAACCGTGCGAAGGAGGGAGGCCGAGAAGGAGGAGGCTGGACGGGTGGATGAGGGAGTGGGGAGAAGGAGGATGCATAGGATGAGGAGGAGGAGGACGAGGAGGAGGATGAGGAGGAATAACAGGAGGAGGCGAGGAGGAGGAGAGGAATAGGAGGAGGAGGAGGAGGAGGAGGAAGAGAAGGAGTGTGATGAGGAAGGAGGAGCATGAGGAGGAGGGCAAGCAAAAGGGTCAGAGGTCCCTTGGATGCCGCTCGGAGCCTCTTGGGGTATCTTTTGGGCGCCTCTTGGTGGCCTCTTGGGACGTCTTGGGGGTCTCTTGGCGTTCCTGGGGAGCCCTTGGGCGTCTTGGATGCCTCGGGGGGGGGGCCTTTTGGGGCCGCTTGGGGTCTTCTTGGGGGCGGGGGCCTCGGGGGGGCCTCTTGGGGCCATCTTGGGGCCATCTTGGGACCTCTTGGGGCCTCCTGGGCGCTTCTTGGGGCCATCTGGGAGGAAATCGATCAAAGAAAAGGGACTTTAGGGTTGCCCCCCAAGAGGCCAAAATGGAGCCCAAACCATGGTAAAACCTATGAGTTTGGCATCCTCGCCGAGGCCGTTTTGGACGCCCTGGCCACTCGCGACCAGCCCCGTGCAGGTCCAGGGGAGGGGTAGGGGGAGGGGTAAACCTCACCCCGAAGGGGAAGAAGGAGGTTGGAAGAGGAGCCGCCCTAGACCACCAACGCCCAGAGGGCTGGTGGGATTCGCATATCGAAACATTTGCTTGTAGATGCGCGCTGTTCCCGAAGCGGCAAAAAGTAAAGGTAGGGACTCATAGACAGATGGAGAGGGGACTTCGGGCGGGAGAGTGGATTGCGTCATCGGTGATGCATCCCGGGATTAGTCTGGGCCTCGTCCTCCTCCTCCTCCTCCTCCTCCTCCTCAGCGTCCTCCTCCTCCTCCTTCTCCTCTTCTGTATCCTTCTTCCCTCCTCCTGCCTCTGTTTCTCATACTTCTCAAACCCCCCCCTACTTTGCATCCTCCCTCCCCCTCCTCCCGTCCCCCCTCACCCATCTCTCCTCCTCCTCGCTCCTCCTCCTCCTCCTGCTGCTCCCTCCTCCTCCTCCTCCTCCTCCTCCTCCTCCTCCTCCTCCTCCTCCATCTCCTCCCCCTCCTCCTCCTCCTCCTCTCCTCCTCCTCCTCCTCCTCGTCCCTCGCCTCCTCCTTATCCTCCTCTTCCTTCCTCCTCCTCCTCCTCCTCCTCCTCCTCAGCCTCCTCCGCCTCACCCTCCCCCTCCTCCCTTTCTCATCATTACTCCCCAGGGCTCCCCTCTGCTCACCCTTGCTCCCCCCCACCCCCGCCCCTGCTCCCCCCTCTGCTCCAGTCCCGGATTGGGTCAGCCACGTAAGGAGCCCATTTCCAAGGCGAGGCGGGAGCATCTTGACAGCATGTCACACGACCGATCCCCGAAAGCCTGAGCTGTACGCTGCTTGATCTCATTCTCAAGGCGGCAACGCTGGCTGATCTCCTCTCTCGCAGCGCGCTTTGCTGTGCCGCAGCCGTTTTTGGCGCTTCCCCCGCCTCCTCTGCCAAGAGCCCGCCTCCTTCGAGAGGCGGGCCGCGCTGCGTGCCCTGGGCTCCACCGTCCCTGGAGCAGAAGGAGGAGGAGGAGGAGGGGAGGAGGAGCGGAGTGAGGACGAGGAGGAGGAGGGAGGAGGAGGAGGAGGAGGAGGAGGCTGAGGATGGGTGACGATGGAGGAGGAGGAGGAGGTGAGGAGGGGAGGAGGAGAAGGAGGTAGAGGAGGAGGGAAGAGGGTAGATGGAGGAGGAGTAGGGGGGGGATGGATATTAACTGAATATGAACTCTTAGGTTGGAATTTCAAAGTTAAAAAATACCCAATTATGGACTTAGTAGTAGGCTACTTGAGTGAGAGGAGGCATGCGTATTATGATGTAGTCGTATGCACGTAGGCGAAGGTATTAGAGTGACTTTAGGTACACGCACTGTTCTCCTTTCTGTCCGATCCATGTCTGTGCAACTCCCAAATTGGAGAAGCAGGAGGAGGAGGAGGAGCAGGACGGGGAGGAGGGGAAGGCGGAGGAGGAGGAGGAGGAGGAGGAGGAGGAGAAGGAGGAGGAGGAGGAGGAGGAGGAGGAGATGGAAGAAGAGGCTGACGATTGAGGATCGCCGACCGGCGACTGACGATCGACGATATAGGGAGGGATCGACGATCGCAGATCGATGGTTGGAGACTTTCTTCGGGAAGGGAGTGCGGGGGGGGGGGGACGCGCGCTCTGTGCTCGCGACGACGACGGAGCCCAG